CGTTCATAAATTCAATATCCGGGTAAACAAAGTCAGGTTAAAAAGTTTTGTGCCACACAAGCATTTCAAACAAGGTTTGCTGTAATTATGGCATTTATTCGATGGACCATGCCACTAGAAAAAGTTTTTCAGCTGTCAAAACCTTGCTTCAGTTTTCTCTCGGTTTTACCTCAGGACAGGCGAAATCCTGCTCTGAGGAGAATAAATTTCGCAACTAATTGACAACTTACAAAACTTAAAACAACTAACCTTCATGAGTTTCCTATATTTTGAGTTTCGCAGAATTTCGTAAACGTTTTTCAGAAAGCTGTACGGCCTGTTTGTTTGTTTGTCTGCTAGAACGTATCACAAAGATAAGTGATTCTCAACTTCCGGTTTTAGCCCAATTCATTTCCGCTTTGTAACCAAGTTGAGCCAACCACTTAGTGCCCAGGATATATCGCGCTCTTAAAGCACCCGATTCGCTCATAATTAACCGCTTACATGCGGATTTAATTAGTATCAAATTAACGCATACAAGCGGTCAAAGGAGGGCCTATTTGCCTATCGTGAACCTGTGACGTATGGGATTAAATATTGGTGCCCTGCTCAGCACGCTTCGCTGACCCCACTGCTTGGTCTTTGTATCCCTACACAACGTGGATCATTAGGTTATTGCGCGTCTGACCTTTTTACTTTACAATGGAAAGGCAGTCCCGATTAGTTTATTCAGAAGAACAAAAGGAAGTGCTGACCACGTTTTTCAACGAGGGAATGACTTCCACCAAGAAAGCGATGTGCGACAAAATTCGTGCATGTGCCACAAGAGTCGGCATTTCGGAAGACCAAGTGAAGGTAGTTTAAGCTCTCACGGCCTTGATTAACACTCATTTTATCCCAGGCACCAGGATAACTAATTTCCTGTACTAAATTCATGTATGTATGTTGTTAAGAGTTTCAGGCCATTTGAAGTTAGAGTAATTTAATTTTTCTGATCTTTTGACCTATTCTGTTACAAACTGCGTTGATTTAATTGCGATCTGAGGACATCTTTCGAGCATTTTTCTAATTTTATTACACACAGGCTTTATATGAAGTTACAGTGTAAGGTTTTCGCCGGCCAGTTTAGTCCTAATTCTGCGTTGTCCATAGCTATAGCCTTTCACAAATGATGTGAAAGCCGTTTGATGTCGAAAGAAATTAAATGAAGCATGTGTTGTACTTTCTCTCCATCTAAATAGAAATAACATGGAACGACGAGAAACCACAAAAACGATCTTAAACCATCTAAAAGCATTTTAAACTACCTGACACCACCTAAAAACAGACAAACCATCTTAAACCACGTAAATTAACACAGGAAAAAATATCTGATTCCCAAATTGGGAATTTCTAAGAAATTCCCAAAGTTAAATCCCAATAACGGGTATTACATGGGAATTTGCATGAAATTCCCAAAGTAAAAACCCAGCATTGGGTATTACGTGAGAAAGTATATGCCAAGATTGGGAATTAGTTAGGATTTTGTTACAGGAAAAAGTACAAATTCCCAAAATTGGGAATAATAAAGAAACTCCCAATGTAAAACCCAATATTGATTATTACATGAAAAGCAGTGTACCAATCTTGGGAATTTAGTGGGACTTATAAGACTATTTCCCAAACTGAAACCCCAATCCTGTGTAAAACCAAACATTGGGAATAGTGTTGCAGACTTTGGTAAATTGGTGGAAACTTCTGCCCAAAAGATCAATTTCAAATTGGGAACTTTGCAAAAGATAAAAAAGGAAGAGTTTATTTCAAAATTCCAAAACTGGCAATTTCTCAAACTTGTAAAAAAGCAACTTTGCTAAAATGATATTGTTTTGGAAAAAATATGGGTGAAGTATTAGGTTTCGAAAAAATAGTAGAGAAGGGGACATCCAAAGCGCCTGAGCACCATACTAGGGATACTCCCAGTGAGTTCAGTATCATTCAATGTTAAAATGCACAATTTCTATACTTTCCTCTAAGAGGTTTGTGTCTAACAGCTGGGAATTGCATCAGTACGTGTACAGAAATGCATGGCAATTACAATGTGTTTGCATGTTTGGAACTTGACTTGACTTGACTTGACTATGACATAAAAATCAAGAGAGTTCCAAATTATAACATTGTTTGAAATTTAAAACCCTGAAAAATGATATGTTGACTTTGAATTATTGAAGAATGTCTTGGGCATATCAAAATCGTGGTCAAGCCATTTGCCAATACATTTTTTGCTGTGTAAACTGTAAAACGTATGTTCCCAGATCTGCATTCTTATCATCAGTTATTAAAAGTTAATACCTGTACCAAGATGATGACTGATTGCCTGAACATGAATCCTTTCAAGGAAACAGCAGCAATTTCCCTTAGAGTTCTTTAAACATTCGTCCATTACTCGGCCAATTTCCTGCAGATCTGCCAAGTGTACTTTTGAAGTGTACTTGCTGAGGGCGTGTACCTTCACTAACCCAGAGACCTGATTGCCTACCCCAACGAGGATGGGGTATATAAAACTGCACCTGGACAGTTTGAGTCCTTTCCTGAACTGCTAACACCACTGCTCTCCATGGGTCTGGGTCATCACCCTATCACCCACTTCAGGATAACAGGGAACAATAACACTGGAGAGTGGAAAGCACTGTCTCTGAAAGTCGATACAAATGTAAATGCTTGGATCATTAAGATTTTCTGGATCTGGATAAAGCATAACCTTCCGCTGGATTTTAGAAGAATGGACAATCTTTTCAGTACTTGATGGCCTTACTAAGGCTCCCTTGCTCCATTGGTGGAGTTGCTTTTCAGAGTTATAGATCACTGCCTGGAAGCAATCTCCAGCAACAAATAAATGATATTCGTGGCTTACATTTGTCCTTAGCAGCTGAGTAATAGTTAAAACACATTCATTGCCATCTTCAGCAGAAACAATTATGTTTTCACCTACTCTATAAAGCATTCCTTTGTTGCCATTAGCACTGGTGAAATAGATACGACATTCTTGTGCCACATCACTAAGGCTTTCACCTGTTATACCTTGATCCTGGCCAAATTGAGCAAGGATGGAATTCCTTTGCACTTTTTCAAACAAATGAACAGGTTTTGATGCTCCAACTAGTATACCGTTAATTTTGGCCAGGTGATTTGCTTCATCACTGAAATGCTGTTTGGCATTTTCCAATTCAGCTTGAGATCCATAGTGTGCCTCCTTTGGATAAGAAACAGTTTCTGCAGAAGAGTTTCCTTGCACTTTCAAGGAAGAATGCACCTTAAGAACTTCTCTGCGCAACTCTGCCCTCGCAAAAGTTATTTCAATATTTTTGAAGTTGGTTGATATTGCAATCTCAAAGTTGTAGCACCAAAAGTTATCTGGAGGACCAAAGTTTATCACATCCTCTTTAATGTGTGTCAGGTTATGATTGACAGCATGATAGTAAGTTAATCCCTGGCTTTCTTCAAGTAGAATATTATATCTTAAAACAGTTTCGTGAAAAATTGCTGTGGAGTCAATGGTCCACCGATTTCTTCCCTGACAATACAGATACTCAACAATTCTTGCTAAACATTCCCAGGTTTCAAAATGTTCTTCGGAAACAAGGCCTCCCAAAACTACTTCCAAGATGGGGAATGCAAACATTTGAAAGTCTTCAGCTTTCCAGTACCCTATTCTTGAAAGCCTGCTCGGATATCGAGAAGAAAGAAATTCTGCAGTCCAGGGCACTTTAAATAGTCTTTCTTGAAGTACTTTCTGATCCAAAAGTTGATTAGATAGAAGGAAATTAAGGTTATTTCTTACAACTCCAAGTGCAACCATGTGCATAACATCAAAAACACAGTGTTTGCGGTAATCAAAACCATATAATGCATGGAGACGATGAAGCACAGACAAACCAGTAAATTCTGATTCTTTTGCCATTTCCTGAGCTACAGTTCTTCTTTCTTCCTATTCAATTAATTGCAATGTTTCAAGTTCATCATGAATGTTTCTTTTTGGCCATGGATACCTTGTCAATTTTCGGTAATTTCCATAGTAATAGTGATTACTACCAGGGTCCAAGATACTTCCACATTTGCAGCGTCGACAAGGGTTTTTTCCACAGAAAATTCCCTTACAAACCTCACAAATAGCAACATGGTCCCCAGTAACACACAAAATAAGATGCCTTAATTTTGAAGGCCCAGAAGGGAAGTTAGGCAATGTAAAGCTATAATTATCAACTGCGATGCCATTGATAAATCTATCTTCAATTTCATCAAGAAGAGGTGACAAAAATGGATCCAGAGATATCGGCCTTCACTCGGGCAGCAAATACGCAGGCACAAAACCGACAACAAATATCTCAGATTGTTTTTGTCTGTCTTCCTTGGACATATTAGCTATCTGAACTTCAATAGCTCCAGAGCCATGATTGTATTTACCATCAAATGGCTGAAATCCATCCCAATGAAGAATGTACGCTAAGTTTCTTGGATCTCCAGTTGCTTTCTGGATAACATGGGGGAAAGTGACTGCACAGGATAAACAGGTTACCAGCTTTTGTCCATCATTTCCATCAGGAGAAGAATTGATATCTTGGACTGAGACAACCCCACCACAATTATCACATTTGGCAGGTAATTGCCACTCTTCCTCAGGATTCCAAAACCACTGAAGCTCTGAGAAACGGCTTCCATCCCATATCTCACTTTTGCATGTGAAACCCCAACCATCTTGATTTTCTTGTCCAAGCCAATGATCCTTTTCAAACCAGTGTGACAGCATTTTTTTGCAAAACATAGGATCACTTGCCCAGAGGTTAATCTTAGGACCTAAGCCAAGATAGTAGTAAGGAATAGTTCCCTTTTTGTTACAGTGAGGACATAAATCATCTTCTGATGACATTAAACCAGTGACATCTGTGGCTCTCATCAAGGCAAATTATGTACTTTTTAGCATCCCTGTAGCCGACAGAATGCAAAAGTACCTCTGCATCTTTCCAACATTTTGGCCACAAATGTTGTTACTGCTCACTAAATCCCATCATGAATAGTTTCTTTCCCCAGTCCAAGATATGATCAAATCCAATGTTTGACAATTTTAGTTCAAGCTGCAATTGTAGAGCATCAAGAATTACATCTATTATTTGCTCAGTTATTGTTCTGGTTGGGTCTACATCACCTGCATAAACGTGTACTTCATTCGATTCGTTTTCTTCAGGAGTACCAGAATCGAGACTATCCACGAATGTGTCTGAGTAATCAAACATCTCTTGATCTTGGTCCACGGCTTTTAAAACTTCACTAGATGATGACTCCTCAAGGCCTTCTATTTCCTCTTCGTGCAAGCCTAAATTTCCAGTTACCCTTGAACTGCTATGTTCACGCTTACGATGTCTGAATGCGGTCGCTCTTGAGACAGGCATGCCGTTGCAATCGTTGCAAGCACAATGAACCTGCTCTGACTGGGAATCCTCGCAGATACAAATACAAATTTCCCAGGTTGTATCCACGCAAAACGCCATAATTTGTCAAATCTCGAGTTTTCCTTGATTGCCTCTTAAGTTAAAAGAGGATTTCCCTTGCCTTTCGAATGATGCATGAGGAACATTTCGAATTATGCACAGAACTTTTTCCTATAACACTCGATCGTGCGTGCTCATCCGCCATATTGAAATTGAGCCGACGGTGAAAATATCAGCGGAGATATAAATTACCGAAAACGTGACTAAACGCCACCAATGAGAAACGTCCAAAGAACAGAGGCGGGGAAATTAGCCACTCAAGAGAGGTAATATATTACAAAAAACATTCTTGCGCGCTTTTTTTAGCATTCAGTTAAAGGAAATGGTGGGCGAATACAGTGAGAGTTGTTCTCGTGCTTTTCTAACACCAAGACTTTCCTCTTCCGACGATTGTTTCTCATCCCAAATGGACAGCACTGAAAGTGGAGACACTGATGATGTATCAAGTGAAAACGACAGCCTACGAACATATACACAGAAACAAAAAGTTAGCCCAAAACAGCTTCCCTTTCCCGCCAGTTTGCTGGAAGGAAAAAGTGATGACGTTATTGTTTCAGATATAAATGTCTCTGGTAAGTTGTCGTTTAGTTTTCAATTCCGAAATTAATGCGAAATGATTCTCTTCTGTAATTCCCGATTGACAGTGGTGTTTTTTCAAAACTTCAGAGTGGACGTGCGAGGAAGTCAAGGGGTGGGTCATGAGCATCTTCAACGATGAGAGCATTGCGAAGAGATTTGTGGAAGAGGAAATAACCGGAACTACTTTACTCTCCCAACGCATTCTAAACGACAACTCGATGGAAAGGCTTGGCCTTAACACGATTGGGAAGAAAGAAAAGTTTTCTTCATCAGTTCAGAAACTAGGTTAGTAGAATTGAGCTTAAATATTTTAGATTAAGCTTACTGTGAGGCAGACACAGGGAGAAAAATGGTTTCTGTGAAACATTTATGATCCGTAAGCTTCTTTAGCCCCACTAGGCGAAAAATTTAGCATTTGATCACAAAGGATTAACTGGGAGAAATGCTTTCTTTTCACTTTCCAATACATCTGTCAGTGAAGTTCTCGCGGGCTTCATGGTGTCACGTGACTTTTCCCGCTCTGAAAGTGATTATTCCAGAGTAATTTTAAAACGTTTTCTTTATTTTTCTCATGGAATGGGCTTCTACCAGTAACTGAATTCCATGCTTGTATTCATTGTCGATGTCCTCTCATGGTTCTCTCCTTTCTCTTTTTTTTTTTCTTTTTTCTTTTTTACTAGTCACTAAAAGAGGATTTGTAAATGCTTGTACTTCTGTGGCGGGTAAACAGCTGGACGGCAGACAAAAAGGAAAACTAACCCTTCCAGATATCAGATCTCTTGATCCTGCTACAAAGTCAATTTACCTAGCAGTGTAAGCATGATGTAACTACAGTATCACTGTCATAGAAAATGAATGTTTTCAGTGAAATGTGAAGAAAAAATATTTTGCAAGGCCTTAAATCTCCGACTGTGAAGATCATAACAACAGGCATTTGCTTAGTGTTGAGTCAAATCAGACCAATAGATATTCAATATCTGGTCATTTGCACATGGAAATCATGGTACTTGAAGCTTGTATGTGGTGGTATTTTTAAGACTATTTATCTTCTTGCTCTTTCTAGAGTATTTTGACACTGCTAAATATCATCCAATACTCCTTGCCTCAAGAATTAATACTGCTGCATTTATTACTGTTTTAAAGCTACATCCTACTAACTTTTTTTTTTATTCATTAGACAAACACGCATCCGTAGGGCCACAGAAAATGAGTTTCCTGGTAATAGTATTCCAACATTTAGAAGCAATCCAGAGGCAAGAAAACGACTAGACAAGTTAGTGAAGCAACTGGCCAATTCATGCTCAATTGAAGAAGTTAACTTTGGAGAAGGTACACTGTAGCTACATGTAGACAAGTTGTTTTCGCTTCTAACAAATTTATTATTATAATGTTTCAAACTTCCATCATGTGTTTAATTGCAGAGGGTATCCGGTCACATACAATGTCAGTGCTCAATGAAAGAAGGAGGATGGTCACCCTCGGATACAATTATGAGGAAGTATGTTTAAACAAAGGACCCCTCTCCATATTAACTTATTTAGAAAAGAGGAAGCTACCCTTAACAGCATACATTTTTTTGTGTGTTTATGTGCAGAGTTGTTCTCTCACATGTACTATATTGAACACATCTATTTAGGATAAAAGGAAGTCAAGCGACAGTACAGGTGAAGGTGAAGGAAGCCCACTGTGCTCACAGATGAAAAGGCATAAAAGTGATCACAAGTCAGATAATCAGAGTGACACTGAAGATTCCAGGTCAAGCAATGCTGACGATAACTGAAGAAGGATCAGGCACAAATGGTAACATTACAACTCCATAGCGGATTAAATGTGACTTTCTGAAATGGGTGACACCGCTGGATTTTTTACCTTGAAGGCTCGGTTTATTCCTTTGAGCATTGCTTTCGGTGGCTGCCGAAAACGTGTCGGTTTTATTCGTTTCGAAAAAGGTGAGATATTTTGGAAGAAGACCAAAGGAACTGCGGAAGGTACTTCAAAAGACTTGGACAATAGTGTAATTAAGCTACCTTGCGCGAACAGACTTGTGATCTTGTATCCTTTTGTTTACATTGTCTTGAGATGAATGAACTCGAGATCGATTAACTGCAATCATTTGAATGGATTTAGTTTCTATTCACGGTGTATTTTTAGCTGTAATATGTTTTTAGGATTAAAGAGCGTCGCAAAAGATTTAAAAGTGGATCTTGGACGAGTTATTGTAATCACTGCGAAGAGCAAAAGCGAAAATAGTTTATCGTTTCGAGCGCCGATCGTTTTGTTTTGATCCGAATGATTGCACTTGAATTAAACTACTTCTTTATTATGTAAATATTGCGTGTCATAAATAGTGCTCGTGTTCGGCTTGAAACTTTTTGGCCAGTTAATTTCTCCATCAGAAGATTCATCCATTGTCAAACTCAACACCCTGATTTTGCAACATAACTAACCAGAAGAAATTGTAGATCGGCAGATCGCCTCAGCTGAATTTTGTCCTTGCGGCGTGGAACGCGAACGGATGTTTACAAATTGTGAATGGACTATTGTCAAGAAGCAACCAATTGCGTGTCGTGTCTTGCTTGTTGTCAAGGGGGTTTTTTTTTTTTACGCGAGTCATTACATGCATTGAAAACTCTACAACGTATTTTATTAATTTATTATACTCATTACTCGTACTTTTATTTTTTCCACCGGATAAAAATATCTTAGAAAGCAACAAAGCAAGTTCTCAATGATTTAAGAACCCTGTTTAAAATCTATATGGTATATTTATACCGCTAGTTCTCCTAACTTCACATCGCAAATACCGTACTATGTTAAAATACGCGAGCTCCGTTTGGGGGCGCGCGGCGCATGCAACGTTTACTTCTACTTGAAAAGACATGCAAGCTGATAAGTGCTTGGGTTTGATCCGAGGTTGATGTCTTTGACATGTTGCCCAATACACCGGAATGCGTAGCAATTATTAGACATCAATCAAGCAGATTCCCGGGAGAGTTTATTTCATCTGTTAAGAAAAGAAAAATATCTCACCTACATCAAAGAAATTGCGCTCTTCACGATCTTCGGAAGCATGCCGGCATGTCGGCAAACTCATCGGAATGAATAAGTAATGAGAAAGAACAATAGCCTGAATATATTAATACTTAACAACCTCAATTTTTGAGGTTCACATTTAATCCGCTATGGAGTTGTAATGATTGTCAATTATAAATTTAAAGAGTAATGTGTAGTTCCATAAAATATTCATACCTCCCCCACAAAAGGGATTCTTTTACAAGAACCCCCACCCCTCTGGAAAGTCCAATTAAACTTGATACATTTCTTTAAATTTTTTGGACTTTGAGATTTGTGCACTTTGGGTTTTAATCTTACTCAGTTTTCCCTGCAAAGAGGGCAACATTTTGCTGTTTTTATTTGCCATAAAGTCAGTCTTAATTGTAAGTGATGGCACTGGTAAAGTCTTGGTTATAGATACCCATTTCCATGCTGATACAAACAGTGGAACATATTTTATTTATGGGAAAGCAGATGAGGTTGCATTGTATTTCACCAAAAATTACCCAGGGAAAACAGTCGGTACTCTAACAGAAGTTTCATTTGTAGTTCTTGTAGACTGAAATTACTTGTGCATGCACCATTGATATAGTTTTCACAGGTTATTGGGCTTGAAATAGAAAAACAGCTGTCTGGCATATTCCCTTGTCTTTTTGTTTATGGAAGACGGAAAAAATTACCCACCAGTTATATTTTGAAACACTGCCAAAGAATGAATCCATATTTATGGCAAGGAGAAAAGAAAAAAATCAAAGATCAGTTTAATTTGATGCTTCAGAGTTACTTTACTTGTCATAGCTCTGAAATTTTGTCTGCATTTTGGCTTAGTCATTGGCAGCCTACTATTTTTAGCCCAGCTGTTTGTTGTTTAAGTTGAATATTAACCCTATGTACATTAATGTACCACTGATTAATGGTGGTCCAGGAAAAGTACACTTTCAAATTAACATTGACATAAACTTGAAGTTGATTCATTTTTAACAGTAAGCTGCATTGCAGACCAGAAATCTTAACTGGCAGATACGTTTGAGTATTTGCCTATAATGTTGTTTTAAAACATATTGCAATAATATTGCACATATTAATTAACCTTATATATCATTCATTTTTGTGCATGCACTTGTACCAAAGTATAGTGATATGTAAGGAATGCATTGAGTTGATTTCTACATCTTGACAAAGTTGAATTATAGCTGGCTTTAGTAATACACACCATGTTCAGCCAGCTCCAGATCTTTCAACATCTATCTTTGGATAACTGCTTTGTG